CTACCAAAATGTTTAAATCAGAAAGTGTATGTCTTCTGTGCCATTTGGGCCGAAACTTTATTGATGTATTTCAAGTACAGAAATTGTCATGTCTCATTGATCGTATATCTTTGAATCAAATCATTGATTAATATGGAAAGTTTGTCACATGATTCCCATATGCCTTTGTTGTTTCTTGTTCCTCTTTGCTTCTGCCATATTGAAGTATATATATATGGCATAACGTTATATTGTATCTATTGTTGAACTCACTAAGCGTCACCGCTTACCCATCTCATTGTTTAACAAATTGCAGGAGATAAGTAACCAGTATAATCGTATACTGTTGGAAGATTTTGAATAGTTTGAAACTATTGTATTTTGTACTCATGTATGTATAAATTATAGTATCCTGGGAAGTTATGTAATATATAACACTTTGTAATAGTCGGTTTGTATCCAGTCTTATGTAAACAAGTTATCAATGTAAAATATTGTTTTTATGAATATGCAAGTAGCATGTTTTGGAGTAACAATTGTCAAATAGGAAAGTGTGGGTCTTTCAATCATGGTATTAGAGCAGTAGTTTAAGTGAACTAAATTCCACGGATTGGTATTTAGACTTAAACTATTGGAATTTCAATATATGAACTGACTCATTGTAAGTATATGATACAAACCTTAGGAAAGACTTAAGTAGAGTATTAGGTAATGATAAACCCTAATATATATTCTAAAATACAATGTTACTCCATATTGCAGAACAATGGCTGAACAAGTGGGTAGCCATACCCCTGAGGTGGGTGGAGGTCCTCAACCTGATGAAGTAAATACTCCAGTATCTCCTCTTGAGGAGCGACTATTGGGTAAAGTTACTGGTATTATTCGACAGACTTTCGAAGAACACAAAAAGAATGGTGCTAAAGGAAAAGAGAAAGCCAGTGGAGAATCTTCAAAAGGGGAGGTGAAGCGTCCCTCGCTAAAAGATTTCAAGAGTAGTGGTGCTACGGAGTTTTCATGTGTTCTTAATCCCATTGTTGTTCTTACCTAGATCCAGAACACAGAGAAAGTGTTTCGTATTTCTCATGTGGATAATGAAGACAAGGCTAATTATGCTTCTGCAATGCTCGTCGGAGAAGCCTTGGTCTGGTGGGAAGCAACATATGAAGCTCTCAACGGGTTTGACCAGGAGAATTTATTCTGGGAAATGTTCAAAACTCGTTTGCTAGAGAAGTATTGTCCTCTAGACATGAGGAGGAGATTGGAGAAGGAATTCCTCGAGCTGAAACAGGGAGGAATGACTGTGAATGAGTATGAAACTCAGTTTAATCAAAGAGCAAGGTTTGCTACAAAGTACATTCCAACTGAAGACAAGAAAATTCAGTTATTCATGGAGGGACTACGGCACGAAATCCACGATTTCGTTGCCAATCGGGAAGTTTTGTCATTCAATAAAGCCGTTGAGTATGCTCGAAGACGCGAGCATGACTTAGAAATACGTGGTGCCACTTTTACTGTTCCGAAGCATCACGTACTGAAAGAACTGTTCCTGTTCCCTCTATTCTACCAGCTCAATCCGTTCGGACTGAACCTGGTAATCAAGTGCAAACATAAAATGCCCCTCGTGGCCGCGGTAGATCACAATCTTTTTCTATTCAATCGCCTTTATGTCGCATTTGTGGAAGGAGTTATCCGGGACAATGCAAAATAGACAAGGAATCCGTTGTCTGTTATGGATGTGGAGAAACGGGTCACATAAAGCCAGCTTGCCCAAGGAAGGATGTTAATTGTTATGCATGTGGTATTACTGGCCACAAGAAGCATTTTTTCCCTACTCTTACTAGCCAGATGACGGGAAGTCAAGCTTCTGTTCAACAACCGGCGAGAAGTCAAGCTCCTGTTCAACAATAAAAGGGTACTCCAACTAAAAATGAGGAGGTTCCAAAAGCTAAGGGTCGTGCATTCCAGATTACCATAGAAGAGGCACGCGAGGACCCGAATGTTGTGACGGGTACATTTCTTGTTAACTCTAGACCTGCTCACATCTTATTTGATTCTGGTGCCTCAGATTCTTTTGTATCTCATGAATTTGCGCATTCTTTTCAAATTGCTTGCTATGCACTCGCGCAACCATTTCACGTAGATACTGCGGAAAGTATATCATTACTTGCTGATAAAGTCTATAGGAATTGTGTTATAGAAATTGAAGGCTACAATTTTCTTGCTAATCTGATTCCTATCTCCTTGCCCAACTTTGACATTATTCTCAGCATGAATTGGTTGTCAAAGAACCACGCAGAACTCTTGTGCTATGAAAAGATAGTACGTATTCCCATTAAAGGGGAGAATCCTGTCTATGTCTACGGTGAACAAAGAATCTTAAAAATAATCTCTTTCCTCAAAGCTCGTAAATTCATATCGAAAGGGTGTTCTATCTATCTGGCCTACACAGTTGATATCTCAAAAGAGGAAAAGAAAACGGTAAATGATGTTTCCATTGCTAAAGAATATCCAAATGTTTTTCCTGAAGAATTGCCTGGACTTCCTCCGGACAGGCAAGTAGAATTCCGAATTGACCTGGTGCCTGGTGCTGCCCCGATTGCAAAGACTCCTTATCGTCTTGCGCCAGCTGAGATGAAAGAAATGATGATCCAACTGCAGGAACTACTTGACAAAGGCTTTATTCGACCGAGTACCTCTCCTTGGGGTGCTCTATTATTGTTTGTCAAAAAGAAGGACGGATCGATGCGAATGTGTATTGATTACCGTGAGCTAAATAAGGTGACTATTAAGAACAAGTACCCACTACCTCGCATTGACGATTTATTTGATCAACTTCAGGGTGTTAGCTATTTCTCGAAGATTGATTTAAGATCTGGCTATCATCAGTTGAAAGTACACGAGCAGGATGTACCGAAGACTGCTTTTCGTACTCGATATGGACATTATGACTTCCTTGTCACGCCGTTTGGTTTGACAAACGCTCCTGCTGTATTCATGGATATAATGAATCAGGTATGCCGCCCAATGCTCGATAAATCTGTCATCGTATTCATTGACGATATTCTAATTTATTCCAAGTCTGAAGCTAATCATGCCATACATATTCGTGCGATATTAGAACTTCTTCGAAAGGAGAAACTATATGCTAAATTCTCGAAATGTGAATTTTGGCTTCGCCAAGTTCAATTTCTCGGCCATGTTATTTCTGGTGACGGTGTATCCGTAGATCCTACCAAAATCGAAGCTATTCAAAATTGGGAAGTGCCCCGTAATGCTTCCGAAATTCGTAGTTTCTTGGGTCTCGCGGGATATTACCGGAGATTCATTAAAGACTTTTCTCGTATAGCCGTACCTCTCACGAGTCTTACACGGAAGGAAGTGAAGTTCGAATGGGGTGAAGCCCAAGAAAAAGCTTTCTCAACTCTAAAAGATCTTTTGACTCATGCTCCAATCTTATCACTCCCAGAAGGTGATGATGATTTCTTCGTATATAGCGATGCTTCAAGATTGGGACTCGGTTGTGTGTTGATACAACGTGGTAAAGTGATAGCCTATGCCTCAAGACAACTGGAATATTATGAAAATAATTATCCCACTCATGATCTCGAACTCGCTGCAGTGGTATTTGCCCTAAAACTTTGGAGGCATTATCTTTTTGGTACAAAATGCCAAGTATTTACCTGGCCTTCGCATCTGCTGCCGCGTGTCTCATTCTCAGCCGTTGATCCGCGGTCTCGCATGCTGTATAAGGGAGGGTGCAAGACCTCCCGGGTAAGTTTGGAAAATTCTCACATTTTCACTCCTAAACCCATTTTTAAGCCATTCCAACTTCCCCCGAAGCCCCGAGATCATACCCAAACCCCGAAACACGTTCCGAAGTACCCGAAGAGCCCGGGAAATTTATCTTTTCGGTTTAAAGCCCAACCCTCGTAGGGCCCGGTTTTCATTGAAGAAAGCTAATTATAGTAACGAAGTGCTGCACAAAATTACTATTTTAACCCCCGATTAATTCACAGTGAGTTCAATATATAGGAACAATTGTATGTTATGTGTTATATGTGCTATGTGCTTTCCCGTTGTTATTATTTCTGCTATATATGATAGCAAAGCTATACCTTTGACCGTGTGATCAGTGAAAGGACTTAGATTCATGGTGGTACTGGTATGTAGCCTCTCGCCATGTAGAGCATGTCTCGTAAGATAATGACTTCTATTCTATGGTATTGGCAGAAGGTTAGACAGGGCTTTCAGCCTGAAATCTACCAAAATGTTTAAATCAGAAAGTGTATGTCTTCTGTGCCATTTGGGCCGAAGCTTTATTGATGTATTTCAAGTACAGAAATTGTCATGTCTCATTGATCGTATATCTTTGAATCAAATCATTGATTGATATGGAAAGTTTGTCACATGATTCACATATGCCTTTGTTGTTTCTTGTTCCTCTTTGCTTCTGCCATATTGAAGTATATATATGGTATAACGTTATATTGTATCTATTGTTGAACTCACTAAGCGTCACCGCTTACCCCTCTCAATGTTTAACAAATTGCAGGAGATAAGTAACCAGTATAATCGTATACCGTTGGAAGATTTTGAATAGTTTGAAACTATTGTATTTTGTACTCATGTATGTATAAATTATAGTATCCTGGGAAGTTATGTAATATATAACACTTTATAATAGTCAGTTTGTATCCAGTCTTATGTAAACAAGTTATCAATGTAAAATATTGTTTTTATGAATATGCAAGTAACATGTTTTGGAGTAACAATTGTCAAATATGAAAGTGTGGATCTTTCACATAACAAGGTCAAAGCATGAAAGCATCACACAATATCACACATAAAAGGATCAAACATATTAACCCTAAACTATAGCAAGTGGTTTCTCCTATGATTTTCCAAAATCATTATCACCCTAACTTTCTTGCTCAAATTCACCTTTATGATTCTTTCAGATTTTCTTTTCCTGATCCCCTTCAATATTTCAAAAATAGATTTCTCATGGATTTCCCTTATCACTTGAACTTGTGCACTACCACTAATGGACCAAATTGTGCATTAAAACCACCTTCTTCAGTTGGATTAACTGGCATCTCAGTTGCAGTAACTTGTACCTCAATTGGAGGGAGTTCCACCTCCTCATGTTCCTTCCATCCTTTATTAACCTACAAGTAATGTTACATTAATATTTTCTTATAATGCATATTATACTTCAATTAACATTAAAGATAGTATATGCCCTTGTACACTACCACAGACTTGATTGACACCTACTCCATTATTGCCACATTCACTAACCTTTTGTTTTTTTTTCTTCCTTGTGTTAACATGATCTGGTCCTTTTGTAGGGAAAGTGGCCTTGTTGTTACCGGGCTCCCTGCATATGCTACACTTAATTTTCTTTCCAGCCTTAGATACCTTATGGCTAGCAAGTCTTTCAACAACACCCCTCTTTCTTTTAGTCACTGGCCTGTCAGCCATTCTCCTATTAATAGGTGGCAAAGGTGGGATATATTCTGTATGTGGCCACAAGTCACTTCCATTCAAGGTTGCAATTATGTATTTGTAACTTTTCATGTATGTGGTTGTAGTAAACATCACATCCACATATGCTTCCACATCCCTATTTAGGTAGGAGATGTATGCTGTAGAATGCACATATTGTACCCGTTCAACTGCCACAACCTACAAGAACATATCCTTCTGTCAATGTCAACCTCAAATGCCTCACCTGTTCTCCCCACTTCAAACTGATTTAAGCCACTTGCTAACACCTCAAAATGTCTCATGTGTTTTTTAAGCTCATTTACCCTATCCCTTATTTCTGGACAAATTTTATTACCCCATTATTGACCTCTAACCTTGTTATTATACAATATCTCCATCATGTACAATCTTAACTCTTCTAACATAGTTATAGATGGCTTCTTTCTAGCATCTACAGTTACAACATTAAAGCTCTCATATATGCCATTATCAACTGAGTCACAACATTTCCCTGGTTGGAAGTATGCCCTGGACCAAGTTTTTGGATTCTTGTCCATCAGGTATTTATGTGCTTCTGGATTCTAAATTTCCAACTCTTTCATCGGAGCTTTAAAGGTATTCTCAGTTGTTTCCTTTGATGCTCTCTAAAACAGTGTCTCATAGTGGGCCCCACTATATCTCTTAAGTAAAATGTAACGAATATGTCTAGCACACTGTCTGTGCTATACAAAAGGCATCATCTCCTTCAAAGCCTCAATTAAACCATGTACAGAGCGAATGATTTATCATTATGTTCCCTAATAAGAAATGTCATGAATTAAAAGATCAAATAATAAAAACACTTACCTTATGTTGATCTGGCATTAAAGAGTATCAATTTCCTAAGTTTAAATGAAGATCATCAATAAGAAGATCTAAAAACCGCGTCCAATTCTGGTTGTTCTCAACACACACCACTGCCCATGCAATGGGAAAGATTTTGTCATTTTCATCTCTACCTATAGCACAAAGCAACTCCCCCTTACAAATTCCTTTCAAGAAACACCCATCAAGTCCAATTCTTTTTACAACCTTCCTTCCCACCTTTTTTCACAGCATCAAAACTGTCACACCCCCAAACCGGAAGGGCGGAAACGTTCGAGGGTGGATGATGTCATGTACATTATCACAACAATTGAATAATAGTAACCAAAGCAACAACCATTACATTGATAAAGTATAGTTTTTACATCTGTGTTCAAATCAATGTATACTTGACAACAAAAGTGTATAGCAAAAACTATAAGACGTAACCGTATAATGCTCCATTTTCTCAAAACCTGTAATGGTACCTGTCTACTGGTTCCCTGAGAATACAAGTGATTTTGAAAGTGTATCAACATTTAAGTTGGTGAGTTCATAAGCATGTTTATATTTGAAATCAGTCTGTTGTTCTTTGAAAATGTAAGTATGTTCTTTCAGAAAATCTTATATTTTCTGTTGTAAATGAATTGTAGTCTTAATACCATAAGACCAAAATGTGTAATTATGGTTGTACTCAGTAATAGTATATCGTAGTCTTATTATTATTAAATAAAACCAAGTGAAAATGAATGGTTCTTTGATATGTAAGTTTCTCTGTACCGGAAAATAGTATACCGTAGTGTACTTGTATGAAAACTTTGTAAATGTACGTGCCTGGATTCCACCAGCTGTAATGTAAACTACTGTATTGTAGTTCTATTATTTAATAAAACTACTTGAAGTTGTTTATGTATTCTTACACTAATCATATTGTTCAATATCAAATTGTGAGTTATTATAACCATGCTTGATGACCTAAGATGGCCTGAAACGATGTTCTTCTGGCGTCGGAAATGGTACGACATTTGTCACCCCAGGCCTGCCGGCCTAACTGTAGCTAACAGTTTAGGTGCAGGATTGTTAGTCCCATATAGATCTATACACAAGTGTCACGCTCGCCCTCCATGAGACTCTGATTATAATTTCAGGGCTTGGTTGGTAATGATTAAACTGCATGTATGTTTCATAAACTATACCTATTATAGTTTATATGTTTGTTTCTGTAGTGTAACCTGAACTTGGTAAAATAGTACGTATGTTCCATAAACTATACCTATTATAGTTTATATGTTTGTTTTGTATTGTATCTCTGAATTTAGTAAAAATGATGTAAGTGTTCCATAAACTATACCTGTTATAGTTTATTATGTATGTTCTTGTATTGTTTCTTGAACTAGTAGATTAGTATTGTGTGTTCCATAAACTATACCTATTATAGTTTATTAGTAAGTTCCGTATGTAATGAAAATATTTATGAAAATGCCCTTTTGCTCTGCATGTTACAAAAAGGGTTAAAGTTTTATACTCATATATATATATATATATATATATATATATATATATATATATATATATATATATATATATATATAACTGAGATTAAAAAGACAGTCGGACAAGTGATTTTACCCTAAGCCCACAACCAAACAAGGAACAAGAGTTAAGGCGAAAACACCATTCCTAAGTCTGTTAAACCTTATATATATATATATATATATATATATATATATATATATATATATATATATATATATATATATATATATAATTATGCTTTGGTAAAAACAATACTTGAAACAGTTGGAATAATTTAGAATAGCTTGAAACAATTTATAATAGTTTGAAACATTTGAAATCGTTTGAATGTTAACACAAGATTCCTTGTATTTTACTTGTATTCCCCCCTAAAAACATGGGAAAATAGTGAAAACGTAGTGGTATGAACTCACCTCGAATGTGTGTTCTCGTTTGGATACGAAGTGGCAGCGATGATCCTCGGATTAGAACCCGCGTGAATAGTCGTATCCTTATAATAATTATACACGATATCGTATTTAAATTAATATTAATAATTAATTAAAGTGTTAGACAACACTAGATTATGTAAGAAATACTTACAATAGTCCTTAGGAATATCTAAAGGTGTTCTTGGGTGTTCTTGGTGAAAACTTGAAGATTTGAAGGAAAGTATGAATGTTCTTGAGGAAATTATGAAGATTTGAAGGAATCTGGGCAAAATCTCATGAAGATATGTGTAACATCTTGTTTATTAAATATATATAAATAGATAAAAATTGATGAATGAATAGTAAATCCGTACTATTTAGCGGGGAGTTGGTTTTGGGGAGCCGAATGTTATAAATTGGACTATTCGGGGGTTAAAAGGGTAAATTCAGGACTTATTTCGTAAGGATTTTAGAAGGCAGGGTGTAATTAGTAACTTTTGGACTCAAAATGAAAGGAATTGTGGGAGCAGGGGCATAAAATATAAGTTTTGGGCTTAATTTGAAAATGTTCTATGGTGGGGGGGGGGACCAAACTTGTAAGTGTGCAAAAGATTTGAAATGGACGAGGTTTATAACCCACCACCCTCGCCATACAAACCCTAACCCTAATGTGCAACAGCTGCCACCTTATGGCTCCCGCTCTCTCCCAGCCGCCATCTCCTCACCACCACCGAAGAATCACCGGAGTAGCCACCTTATTCCGTCGCCGGCGAAGACGAAGAGTCACGAAGAGATCGGAAAGCTCGTTCGTGGGTGATGTTGCTATTCGCGTTTGGGTTGCTGCCTCAACCCACGTCCGCCGCCGTCGCATTGCTGTCGCCTCTGACCTGTGATTGTCGTCGAGAGGGTGGTTGCGGTTGCATTTCTTTATTTTGTGTGAACTGTCGTCGTTTCCCTACGGTGGGCCTGCTGTCGAGTTTTTGGTGGTCGCCAACGTTTCGTGGAGAGCTCTGTCGACGGAAAGGGGTGCGTGTTTGGTTACAGTCTGTGTGCATGATGGTGTGCCAATTGCAAGCTGTATATATGGGTGTTGTTGGCCGGTGACCAAGAAGAACCACCATGGCGGCCAGCCATGGTGGTTGTCGTCGGTGATGTCGCTGCTGCCGTCTCCATGCGCCACCATGGCGGCCAACAATGGGGTTGTTTTGCGAACAAATAGTATGTTGGGTGTGGTTTCATTTGGCCGAAAAACTGAAAACAGCCACCACCACCACCACCACCGTGAGGTGATGGCTGCCACCATGTGCCACCGCCGACCACCACTAGGGTGACTGTGTGTGTGTGTGTGTGTGTGTTATTCAGGTTTTTGCCTTGTAATATTGTAACCAATGCGAAAATAATAAAAGAAACTCGTAACCACCACCGTGAGGTGGTGGCCGCCGTCGTGAGCCGCCGTTGACCACCACTACCCGAGGTGGTAGTGGGTGGTGCCGGCCTTATGAAACCCTAATGGGCCTAAGGACTTAGTATTGGACCTGTTGGGCTATGATTAGGTTGAAGACCCTAATTAGAGTTTAGAAAACCCTAATTTTGGAATTATTGGTTTGGACTTATCGGGACCCGCATTTTGGACCATTGCAGTGAAGATATGACTCAAGCCCGATTTCATTGTATGTTTGGACTTAAGGGAATAAGTCCTTAATGGGTTAAGTAGGAACACTTAACCCTAATTGACATTTTATGTGAAAAACCCTAATTAGGTTTGGGTTCTTATTGGGCCACTTATTTGACTAAGCTGATGTGGGCCTTTGTAGGCCAATTGGGAACATATTATGGACTAAGGAACTTATTGGGCCTTAGGATAAGACCCATTAGAGAGGCTTGGGCCCAATTTGGAAAATTGGGCCATAAGTGGGCCATAATTGGGCCTTGAGGATTATTAGCTATTGGGCCATCAGATCGCCAATTGTTTGGACTAGAATAATTGGTTGGGCCTTAAAATAAGTCCATGTAGAGGTTTGGGCCCAATTTGGAAAATTGGGTCATATGTTGGGCCTTGGTTGACTATTGGGCTTTTGGGCCTTCAGGGTGTGAGTTTGGGCCTTGGTTTTGAACCAAGCTAGGTTAGGGGTAAAATGGTCCACTTACCCCAAGTGTAGATTATGGTTGTGTATTTGAACCCAATTATTAATTGGGTGTCGTTTTGATGATTGACAGTTCGGGAACCTGTCAACCAGCAGCTAGAGTTTTATCCGCGAGACTTCAACAGTGTCAGGTGAGTATTTTCACCATACCAATGGGTCTAAGGCACCAAGGCCGACCCATTTTATGATATGTGGTACACTAAATGATGTAGTGATATGTGGTATGCTAGTTGGTTATATGCTATGTGCTATGCTATTTGTTTATGTGATATTTGCATGAAAGACCATAGGGGGAGCCCATGACACTTGGATGTAAGACCATGTGGGGGAGCCCATGGCTTTTCAGGTAAAGACCATGTGGGGAGCCCA